TAACAAGTTTTGCACTATAATTGTTACCATATTTATTCAAATAACACTCCCACATCCCCCCTGAGGGGATGGAAAAGCTCATAAACAAAAATGATTTTTGCATGCCATAAAAAGCTGCTGAAAGTAGAACCATAGGTTGTGTTGGTAATGTTGAAAAAGATTAAGATTATGATTAAAATCTATCATAATTAATGTAAGCAAGAATCTAGCAACAAGGAAACATATTTTTTTAATTTCTGGTTCCCTGTGAACAAGAATCTTGTGAAAAAAATAACAGATACTTGCTAGAATATTTTCATAATTTATTGTCAGCAAAATTCCAGTCAGAAAATTGTAAGATTCTTGCTAGAATTCAGTGAGAAAAATCATACTGTCTGTAATCATTAAACAGAAAAAAAAACTTATTTGATGGGTTGTTTTATGAATAATAGTGAATAAATAAGCAACACCTGTAGGACTTGTAATAGGAACAGTGATTGTAACTTACTACTGTTTTCACATGAATTTCCTTCATAGTCATCTGAGCAGATACAAAAACCAGTTAATGTGTTACAAATACCTCCATTCTGACACAGATTTATACATCCCCTTGGAGTTTTATCTTCTGCTACTGTAGCAAAACATGCAAGATTAAAGAAAATAAATAATGTGTTCAAGTCAATGTAAAAGGACACGGAACTGGCAGGATAAAGGGTAAACTATAACACATGGGAGAAAATGATATATTACCATACATGGACCTCAATCATCCAGATTTTTGTATATACACATTCAATTTTACTTCAAGAATTACACCAAACCGAAAGTAGGAATAATGTGTGAAAAAATGTGATCACAATATATTCTAGCCAACTTACTGAACTGACAAGCAGTGCCATAGTATTTATCAGCACACACACACCGTCTATCAATGCAAGTACCTCCATTCTGACATGGCCTTTTACAGGATACTGGCTTCTCTCGTACTGTTATAATAGATCACAATACCAATATTAATACAGTGCAAAGATGAAATCACAATTATCAATGGCCAATATTTTCATTTGACATATTTCTTGAAAATGTAGCTTCCTTTCAGTTGTTGGTAGACTTAAGCCACACACTAAACAACATTCACACAAATTAATGTATTTCTCATATTTTCAAGCAAATATTTTTAACAGTACATCAAAGCTTTCTCCGATTGGTTGAAATGTTGGGTATATTAGACAAGCATAAGCGTACAGTGTACCAATATCCATGCTATACATGGTTCAATTCGGGTTAAATGCAAATCACCAACACCAGATTCAACAGCAAAGTGATGAAGCTGACAAACAGTGACCACATCAGCATTCTCTAGCTAACATTCTGCTAAACACCCATTCCTTCCAAAATGCTTCAAATTTGACTGTCTAGCTAAAATACTTGGTCTTTGAGCATTGTTCGTCTTTTCTGAATACTTGTAATCAAATTTATATTATACAGTTGGATATCGACCGGTGAATAGGTAAGAATTTGTATTCCACAGCAAGTGTGTGTAAACTAAACTTTGACAATGATCGGTTAACTTTGAAAGACAGTAAATACTTCATGCCATATTCAGTTTACTTTTCAAAAGTAGCTAATTACTATTGCTAATTGTTAATTTTTAAAAAAAAACATGACATTTTTTTGTCATAACAATTCCAATAATTCATCTTTGGAAATTCTGGAGAATTATTTTTGGTACAACACTGCATTCTGATTGGTTAATACATTGTAACAGATTTGACCTATCTGGTCAAAGAACATTGTTGCAGGTCAAATCATCATGGCAGAAATTGCTCTGCATTACAATATGCGTACAATCAAATGATAAAGACTTTGATTTTGACTGTTTTCTCACAGACACTAATAAATTTTACATAATAAATTCTGATAGTAGGTAATCAATATTGTAATAAAATGTGCATATTTTTTGTGACCATTTCTGTTTCTTCATGTAATAGTGTTGTGGAAACCAATAATGACTCAACTAATTTCACAATCGTATTTGCTCCAATGAGATGATATATTCTCCCTAATCAAGCACATGATGAACTGAAATTGTAATTTGCACAATTTTTCAAAGGGGTGTACCCCATATTTCTGGAGCTAAGTACCCTGGGCGTTAAGACGGTTGAGTACAATACAAATCATTAACATGCTAATTCATTCTGTACACAATCATACTAAAATTTTTTTATAGCATTTCCAAAAATACTGTAATAGTGAGATATTTTTGGTAGTTGTACCAATATAATAATAAATAATAATAATAATGTTTATTTGCCATAGATTACATAAAAAAATAACAATACAGCAATAAATAATAACCAATAAATATTGATAAATAATAATAATATTAATCTATGGCTGGGAAACCGAAATTAGCTCATGCAGAGCTAGTCTAGTCTATTTCCCATCAAAATATATTTTTAAATAGCTATTTATTAAAATATAACAAGGTTATCACCTGATATTTGTAGAGCTGGCTGATATGAGCAATGTAATGGGCTAATATTATCCATGGAACACAAGCAAGATGATAATACAATCCATGAGTATCAACTAATTCTACTAATAAGTGACCAACACTGAGTGTCAAAATAACAGAGCATTCACAAATAATATGCTAAATAGGTTGACAGTTATGGTAGCCCATAGCTTTTAAAATTACCCTTCTTCAGAAATGACCCTTCTTAGTGATATTTTATCAAAATAAACTTTCACTTGCATTTATTATCATTATAGAATTGTTATCCATTCTGAAATCTCATATTGCAGCGATAAAACGTACTATGGGAGTGATATGCACCATGGTTAATGATAATTACCAGAATTCACTTCAGAAGCTGGCTAAAATTTACTACTATTGCTATGATAATGAGCAGATGTGCCGAAATGTAAATGTTATCTTACCGAACTGGCAAACTCTCCCGTAGTAGTTAGCTTGACATAGGCACACACTTTGATGACATATACCTTCGTTGCGACAAGGCCTCAGACAGGGTCCACCCTTTTCACAACAGTCTTCATTCAAGTCTACAATAAAAAAATGTGTTCTTTAATTTCAATGCATACAGCGGTGAATCTGGTGAATTAGAATGCTGGTATTTCATTTAGACAAATAATGCAGCATGGTATTGAGAGAAGCTCTGATCACATTTGGAGAATTTTATAAATTTTTATGCCTGCATAGAAAACTTATCAAACAGGAAAAATTGAACTGGTACTAGAATGACATACAACAATGAAAACTGGTACTACACTGGCGTAAACTGGTACCACAGTGGCACTTCATGTACATTGGCATAAACTAGTACTACACTGGCATTAACTGGTACCACAGTGGCACTACATGTACACTGGCATAATTACTGGTACCACAGTGGCACTACATGTACACTGGCATAAACTAGTACCACAGTGGCACTACATGTACACTGGCATAAACTAGTACTACACTGGCATAAACTAGTACCACAGTGGCACTACATGTACATTGGCATAAACTAGTACTACACTGGCATAAACTAGTACTATACTGGCATAAACTAGTACTACATTGGCATTAACTGGTACCATAGTACCACAGTGGCACTGATTGTACACTGGCATAAACTGGTACTATAATACTGGCATAAACTGGTACTACACTGGCATAAATTGGTACCACAGTGGCACTACATGTACACTGGCATAAACTGGTACTATACTGGCATAAACTGGACTACACTGGCATAAACTGGTACTACACTGGCATAAACTGGTACT